ATCATTTTGGTACCTTGTGAATATCGGCCAATTGGAACGTTTCATATAATGCAGTAGACAGCTGCTGCAAAGGAAGCAAATCTCAGACAAGTAATATATAAAGTAAGTTGTGTTCTTATTACGAAAGCCCTACTCAGTCACATACAGCTTTGTTTCTTTCAAAGCTTTACGACTTTTTTCCTATCATTTCAAGAAAATACCAAAATTTAAATAGGCTTTTTACAGTTTTAAAGTTTCAATTTTGGTTTTTAATTTTCGATTTCCGGATATTTTGGGGGTAGCAAAATTTGTCAATTTTTTTGAGGGTGGCTTGATCTAAGTAGGGATAAACAGTCTGACATGTCGGCTGTTTTCTCAGGTTGATAAAATACCTATCCAGCTTTACGGCATGGTAATCGATTGACTGACTCATAAGTTTAATTCTCTTTAATTTTTTAGTCGATGGTTTGACCAGATACCCTATTTCTTCGAATAAGCGCTCACGATCTAACAAGCGCCCTCTCCCACCCCCTAAAAAATCAAACAAGCGCTGCTTTTGAATGAGCGCCTTCTCCCGTCCCTTCACTTTCTTAAATAATACTGGGATAGGGAGGTTTCGTTCTGCCAACGAAAACGTGAGACAAATTTTATGCCTTTGATATATAAACAAGAATCAAAGATCAGGGCGAAAGCTTTTGAACTGGTCCTGTGTTTTTAGTTCCTGGCTAGTTATATTCCTAGCCTGTACAGAGACGTTGTTTTATTTTCCTTTCGTTCTTTTCGAAAACATCGGCGAGCTCGCGAGCGAAGCGAGCGCGGAGAGCGGAGTGCGGAGCACGAGATTGAAAAATATAGAACGTCTATTTTTTTCTTCCCCCACCAATACCTCCTTGCGCTGGCGGTCAACAAATCCCTTAAAAAAAATAGAGGGTCTGTGAACAGGCTATTATATTCCTGATCCGCCTCGGAATCCAGGTAGACGAAATACGAGCTCCCCTAAAAGCGCCTACGTTAGAGGCTGCCATGACCTACACAGAATCACAGTTTTGTTTGAAACTAACCCGTGAACGTTCCACTCCGTCCTCTTTTGACAGTGAAACAGAAAAAAAAAACAGATGGGCATTTTCATAAGAAAAAATCCTTTGTTGTAGCTCAATAACCAATTAAAAAGAGCCGCTTTTGACATACAGAGCGAGCTGAAACAATCGCGATGTAGTTTGAAAGAACGCGAATTCACTTAATAGATGACGTTTTCGCGGCAGTCGCTGTCAAGGTATCTTAAAACTCTCAAGGGGTATAGACTATCGACCCCTGACAACTCAGGTGAAGGTTCTTTTAGTTTTTACCCAAAACAATAACTAAAGAAAGTTTTTCTCCCACCGGAACTAAGATACAACGTCAAGTACGGAATTTATCATAGTGCTTGACATTGTAAACAATTCGGAGCTGGACAAGCCAATTGGAGCACGTGAAGAACGACGTCTGCCAAGAGAGATCAGACCATCTCATCCTAGCCAGCGTAGCATGGCAGTTTTGGTTGGGCGCACTGGCTAATCTCATCCTATTTCGCGTGAAGCTAACTTGTCTGCAATGCGTGATGGGCATACAAATGTGCAAGTACTAGTCAAGAACGATTTCCCAGGAGCCAATCAGACAAACGTTTCCTGCCCTTGCTTATCCACTTGCCTTATTTATCTCGCGGCCCGAGGTGGGTATACTAATCGCAGCATACGCGTATTGCGTTACATTGGCCCGTGGAATTTCTTTTATTAGAGACCGTTTATAGATTCGAGGACGAGATTTGACTTACGGTTTTTCGCGTATTCTCAAAAACTAGACATCATGGAAAGGCTTTATTTTACCTCTTTTTTACAAGAAACATTAGCACATTTTCGTCTTTATTGAAGGAGGTCAAGCCCAATGATAAAACTTCTAAAATTTGATAACTGTTCCCTGTAGTACGATTATTCAAGCTAAACTGAAGAATGACGACGGCTATCACATTTTCCCGCCAAAATGCCTCTGGTTCACGCGCTCGCACTACTTTAAATAATAGGCACTGCTTAGTATTGAGAAAATCTCCATCTGTTCGAAGTCGTCTCAGTTCTGTGGCCTATACCGAATAGCTGTTCGCGGTCCCACGAAAAGCTATTCAGTATAATATGAACAGCAACGGTCCGGGACGGCAACAAGTCTTTCACACACCGAACATCGTGTTAGTGTTGTTGGCCGAATGGGTTTGGTGCTCTTAATTTCAGTCCTCAGTCCTGAATATTTACTTCCGCCTCTTTGGGTTCCAGTTCTCTCTCCTATTTATTTCCGCGAAAGACCTGCTAAGTGGTCATGCTACATTCAAATATGGCTAAAAACCTATCCGATATGTGAAGGTCCGTTTTCGAGATCGGAGCAGCGTAGCTTCCCTTCGTCACAGGAATCGCGTCGAAATCACCGTTGTGGTGTGTGAACAGAAGTGGCCGAGAAAAAAACAAGTCGGTATAATTTGACTATAGTCGTAGAATCTAAAGGTCTCTTCTGTTTTTAAGCTAAAAGAGAATTGAACATAACAGCGGGCAACTATTAGTCTTACGCTATTATCACACTGCACCGGATCGGTTTAATTTATCGTGTTGACATGAAAATGCCGCTCCGGCCTGCCTCTAAACACCTGCTTACACTACCACGAAGAATGGCACAGAGACCTATCCGATAAATGACGATCAACCTTCGGCAAGATCGTGCGACCCAGCTTCACTCCGTCGTTATAGAAACCGCTCCAAAATCACCGTTTTTATGTGTGAAAAACCAGTGTTTGTCAGTGGAACTTGGATTCTGGATTCCAATCGTTCGTGGGATTCCGGATTCCTTGAGGTGTATTCCCGATTCCAAAGCCCAGGATTTCCGATTTCACAGGCAAAAATTTCCTGGATTCTCTTTCATAGGGCGAAAAACACATTACCATATACAGAGGAAAGGAGAAAAAACAAAATAATAGACATACACCTCGGTAATCTATCTACGAAGAGAAGATTAAATACTTTCCAACATTCAACTAAATCGATTTTTAACGTGCGTTGCACACTCGGCCAGCTGTTTGCTATGCACAGTTTTCATTTTTAATAATCTAAAGAGGAGGCTTGTTTTATTCATAAACAGTTAATATTACGGCAACTGTCATAAAAGGGACCTTCTGAATGGAAACATCTTTCGTCTCTAAATGCGCAGGGGCGGTCATAAATGCTAATTGCTTCAATATATTTTCTCAAAACTTCCGTGAATATGCTAGAAAGTTTAAATGCTAAACTTCCCTAAAACTTGTCAAACAAACCTTTTATTAAAACGTTCTGTTTAATTGTCGACTGAATTTGAACAAGACATTTGTGAGTTCACAAAACTTGCCAGTTGTTTCATTTAAGCATTTATTAACGTTTGGTCTTTCGTTTGGTCTTTGTCTTTCGCGAAGATCAAGGGTTTGATCTCGATATTCATGCAACAGTTAAGAGATATTCTCTTTCAGTAAAAAAAGAAACCAAAATAATTTAAAAGAACTCCTCTTAACAGGGAATACAACCGTTTAGTAATAGTTGACACTACATCTGCCCCCGATCTGTATTTGTCGGTCATATTGTAGCCTTAGTCTTTGTGTAAGCTCTTTGAAATACACCGATTCATATTGAACGTTTTCACACATAAAACATACAATAGGTGAAATAAAAGCGGGAAACGCAAGATTCCAAGCACTGAGTTAGGTCGATCATTACGTAACGTTGATCAAAACAAATAAAAACACCCTCAGCTGGGCGTTTCGAGAATTTTTTCACACGCATTCTAGTCTAGTTTCAGCACAGAATTTCGGGAAATTTCTGTAATCGTCTACCCTACGAGCAGAGTCTACATTTTCGCGGTGTGAACTGCGGAGCGACAAGTACTGCTACACACTAACTTTAACTGTAAAAAAAAAATTGATGTAGCCGCTGCTCGCAGGGTATATAAATCATCCATCGATTCCTCGTTGCCCCTGTTTAAGCAAATCGAGATTTTTTCTGGTATACTAACTGCATGTTGTAACTGTAAGTACTTTCCTATATATACGCGCGTGCTACTAGGATATGTACTTGTAATATCAGGGCAGATCCTTGAATTGCGTAATATTCTTTTCATTTCAAATTTAATAAATGGCACCCAACAAGTGCATGTGTTACGCCGATAAACTTTTTTTTGAAGGAGAGAACTCACTAAGCGTTTTAAAGTAAAAAACGGCTTTATTCCAAAAGATCCGCATTAAACGGTGAAACAAAAATTGGCAGCTAAGATAAAGTTTCAATCGCAATGATATTCGGCTCTTAAATATTAATAAAAATATGCCAAACTAAAAACATCCACTAAATTGAAGTTAGGTAAAATGTCAGTTTGAAATTAATTGAGTCTGCTCATATTATAATGCTGCTCAAACTCCAACTAAACAAGACGAATAGTCCAAGTACAATGACAAAAACTGAAACATGATAATTTTTTTATAATATATTTTAATTCTCAGTTTTTTCGGGAGATATTTAACAAGAAAGCTTCAAAACGCACGGCCGTTTTGGCAGATGTTAAGAAATTTAATGCAAATAGTGGGTAGCTGCATTAAAGGCAATTAGAGTTGATAAATAAAACTGACACTGAAGGAAAGTAAAAACTAATATAAATATCCAATCTTGTTTTATTTTAAATGTTTATATATTTTAGCTTACAATATTTATTAGATTGTAAATATTTGTGTATTTTATGAGGGCCACAAGTTTATTAGCCTTTGGCTATTAGGTGCTACCCTCTTTAAATAAAGGCTTTACTTACTTACTTACTTACTTACTTACTTTAATTTTGCTGGCTGTTGTTGTTAACTTGGAAAATTAATTAACACGACAACTGATATCAGAACGTGTCAAACTGAACTGAGTGGGCTACCAGTTCGTGACATCTCAGCTTTAAATTAAGACGAAAGTCGAGAAGGGTAGCATTCTGGCAAATTCATCCGACATGGCTGGTTGTTTCTTGTCCGTTCAAGCACTCTTCTTGACGTGCCTCTTCTGGGGAGCTTGGGTAAGCTGCATTGCTAGTGCAAATCAAGGTATGACTAAAGCCAACTGTTAATATATGCACACACCTTATACATTCACCTTCATTCTTGTTTTGCTACTAGGTGTAATATTTTATAACCTTCGCTGCCTCCCATTCGAAAAAAAGTTGAAACTCAACAAGGGAGAGGACTACACTTGACTCTGTGCTGAGCAAAATGATCGATTCAGGTCCCATGATTTTTGGCTGAAGTTGTGGATACAGTATACTACTACTTACAATGTCATGCGGTACCCTAAAAGCAAAAACTATAAGCTAGAGAAAAAGCCAAAGCGGGCTAGATTACGATGTAACAGGAACAAAATTCTTGAAGACGGTTTTGACGGCACTGGACAAGTCTTTTTGAAATGACTCTTATGTTTTTATTTAAAAGTCATTATCGTTTAGTTCAAAATGTTTTACCACATACCCCTAAATTTGTTACAACCATAAGGAAAGAAAATGGTTGAGAAATTAAAATAAAACAACTACAACGAATATCTGAAAAGTTCATAACTCAAGCTAAGGGTTAATGAGAGAAAAACACAGACCGGCCGTAGCTATGACAGAAAAAATTTTGTTAGCACTTTTATGAATCATACTTCTAGTTATTCATACAAACCTTTCTCTTTTGAGGACAAACAATGATTCAACTGAACCTTTCCCACGTAGCAGAAGAAAAAACCCTAAAATTCTTACTTGGAATCAGTATCAGACATTCTTTTGGGTCCAGACTGCACTGAGGCCAACTTTAAACGTAAATTAACAGATTACCAAACTTTGAACAGAATCTATATCTAGTACAATTTTAGACGCGTATTTTTATGCATGATATTCAACTAGGAAAGGGAAAAAAGTGACAAGAAAAATGCAGCTGCGTTGTTGAGCTTACGACACAAACGATCATGTACGGCAACATAGATTAGCCTACAATTTTTGTGCCCACCCAAGGGGGATGGGGGATGTGTTTCTAGAACCACATCAGTTGGAAATTAAAAACTGTTTTAAAAAAAAAAAAAACCTTGAAATTCGGTGTCTAATTTTAGAAGGGATAGGATGATCGAGATGGTTTAAGGGCTTCATAGGTTCTTTCTCTTATACTGAACTTTAAATCAATAATTAAACGAGTGTGCAACTACATCAATTTGACGTTGCCGTGGAGTCGACAAAGCTTGCCCTTTGAAATGCAACAATTTTCTCACTGCATAAAAGCTTATAAACTAAAAGAAGACTGAAATTAAGCGACAACAGTTTGACGGTTGTCATGACGTATTTTATTTAAATTCCTAGTTAGTGATCCTTCAAGAAACTTATTAATTAGTTATATCGTTTCGTTATTTACTTCGGTCGGTGGGAAAGCTCCTGTAGGTTTTCTAACTGCTTCGACATAGCAGACTATTATTTCTGGCGAAATTTTTAGGGGAAAATCCCTTTTGTCATTGAAAAACTCGCTTGGGTAGGTAAAAGTCTGAAAGTAGAAAAAAAAAATAACTAAAAGCTTCCAACATACCTCACATCAGTTCTCTCTCCGGCGATCGATAGCTTCTGATCATTTCACAGATAATCCATTTTAGTTCCAAAGTTTTTAAATTTCATTGTGGAATATTTAGCTGCTTAACATTCATGGTAACCTGTTCTTGTTGTTGTTGGTGGTGGTGGTGTTATGTTTTTGTCCAGCAAGCAATCTGCAAAGGATCGGTTATTCATTTATAAACAACCACGGTCGAGGAGCGTGGGAGAATGAAAGAGTGCATTGATGTTTTTTAACGTGTTCTCTGAATTAACGTGGGTGAAATTAGTAGTGGAATACTAAAAAAGGCTAAGTGGTTGAGACGCTCTGCGTTCAGTTAATCTTACAAGTGTGGTGGGTGAGGGCGACCTTGAAAGCTGCTGGCAGACCCGGAAAGACCTATTTCTTGCTGCGGTGAAAGACAATATTCCAACCAAGCGATTGAGAGGTCGAAACCCCGTGCCCTGGCTCACAGGTGCCGTTATCAATCTTATCAAGAAAAAGAAAACCGTACGCAGGAAACTAAAATTGCACCCGTCGGAGTCACTAAAAGTCAAATTTCAAACTCTGCGTTCACAAGTAAAGCGCGCGATCAGAGAAAGCAGGGACGAGTTCTTTGAGTCTGCTAACATCGAGTTCAAGATCAATCCCAAACGTCTCTGGCTAGGATCAACAACTCGCTCAAAGTCGCGCAACAGATCACAAAGTGTCTCCATGGCAACTGGTAACCTACGTGCAACCGCTGACACCCCAGAAGAAATCGCAGACATTTTATATAACTATTTCACTTCAGTGTTCCCTGTTCTTCAAGAGGACAAAGTAGATAACGGCGCAGGGAAATTCCCTGCCGCAGAACCCCCCTTTAGCGATATTGTGTTGCACATCGGCGAAGTTGAGGCTGTCCTAAAATCACTAGACCCAAACAAAGCCACTGGTCCAGATGAGATCCCGGCTAGAATCCTAAAGGAAACCGCCACCACTATTGCTCCATCACTATGCAAGCTGTTCAACAGGTCTCTGGGGAAAGGCTAGATACCGTCTGAGTGGAAATTGGCCAATGTAGTGCCTGTCTATAATAAGGATGAAAAAGATCATGTTGAAAACTATAGGCCTATCTCCCTACTTTGCATTATTTCTTAAGTCCTCGAGCGTTGTGTCTTGAACCGCATCAATGACCGATTAGAAGATCTGATTGCGGACTGTCAGCACGGGTTTCGGAGTGGACGTTCATGTGTCACAAATCTACTAGAGACCCTAGATTACATCGGTGCTGTTCTTGATAGAGCTGGTCAAGTAGATTGTGTGTATTTAGACACGTCCAAAGCCTTTGTTAAGGTTAGACATGACCTCCTTATGGAAAAACTGTGGGGTTCTGGCTTCGGAGGGAACCTGCTCACATGGTTTCATGCGTATCTCTGTGGCAGGCGCCAATGCGTCAGCGTACTAGGCGCGACAACACGTGACCTACCTGTCACCTCTGTAGTCCCTCAGGGTTCAATACTCGAACCTGCTCTCTTCTTGTTATATGTGAACAACCTTCCAGATTCTATCCTCATAGCAAAGTGGCAATGTTTGCAGATGACACTAAAGTATACAAGGTAGTGATGTCTGAGGATGATGGCGCCGCTCTCCAACAAGATCTGGATAATCTGTCTTCATGGTCCGCTGCCTCTGGCCTAGCCTTCAATGATAAGAAATGCAAGCTTCAGACCATTACGAGGAAGCGCAAGCCCATCTGTACGAGCTACGAGGTTAACGGCAGTACCATCAAGTCCTGTGACGTAGAGCGTGGCCTTGGCGTCTCCTTGGACTGTGACTTGACTTGGCACGCCAAGTCTCTCACCAAGCTGCACGTGCAAACAAGTTGTTAGGTTTCGTTAGGAGGAACTCTAGGTTTATTCACAGCACTTCCGTAAGGTGCACATTATACCTCGGGCTAGTTCGTGCTCATCTTGGCTAAGCAACCCAGATCTGGGCGCCCCAAGGCATTGAACTAATTTCTAAACTCGAAAGTATCCAAAGACGTGCCAAATATCAAATTCATTTTTTGCTTGCCTTTTTTTAACAAATATCTCTGACAAAGAAAGACTAATGTCTGTAAACCTACTTCCTGTGTGCTACTGGCACGAGTTACTAGATCTAGTATACTTTTACAAGGCTACGCATAATATGATTCACTTAGATCCGTCTGTTGTTCCCTTCGCGCGCGAATGCGCGCGAAGGACCCGTATATCCGTAACGAGCTCTCAATCTCTTGTGCCTAAAAAATGCAGGACTTCTACCTTTCAGAAATCTTTTTTCATTAGAACCACTAGAATCTGGAACCTGCTTATTACTAGACTTGACCTAGATAATGTTACTTTTGAGAACTTAAATCTGTTCTTTACGGTTATTACTCGCGGGCTCTAGCAATAAACTATGACCCGGACTCTCCAAGGAGCTTCAAAAGTATTTGCTTGAAATGTAACACAGCCAGGTTTTTAGACCAAGAAAGTAGCTGCTGCATGTGATTTAAATTGCTACTTTTATATCCTATTATTTTTTGGGTCCGTAGTAATTGGCTTTAGCTGTTGCGGTGTCCCTGTCCAAATATTTAAGTTATTATTAGTGTATTGTTACGTTCTTATTACTAGTATTTGCATATCTTCAGTGTCTTTTTTTTTCCTGTATTCTTCAGGGCAAAGCTAATAAAATAAATAAAATAAAATAGACGTTAACATCGCTTTTTTTTTTTTTTAGATACCTGTGGCCACATTCGGTATTTGAAGTTTTTTGATCGGGAGTATGGCCTTTATATGTATCTTCAAGGCCACACCTTTTTAAACCTTTCCATTGGAGCAGGCAAATCTTGCGAAACGGAATGTCTTTACCGGAGAGAGTGCGTGGCAATCAACATTGGTCCAGCAATTAATGATATGAGGGTCTGTGAGTTGTGCAACTCAGATCACATACAGCATCCTAATGATTTAAAACGAAGAGAACGTTGGACGTATAAAGGTACACAGGTATGGCGAATTTCACTGGAATAAATTAATGACGGCAATGGTTGTGAATTATCTTGTGGTAAGCGTTTAACTGTTCATAGCCCAAAAAGTGAAGTTTTAGCTATGGACGTGATGATGACAATGACGATCAAAAGATAGTGATGACGACCCTTGGGTGTCAGAGACTTTTCATATGCGGTTTCCTGTTTCGGTTTACTGTTATAGTGACCGCTCGTGTCTTTGGTTCTCTCCCGAAGATTACACTTGTCCGTCTTCCCTCCAGACAGGGGGGGGCCAACCAAAACGGACTTTTACAAAGTCTAGCCAAAGATCTGTGGAGCGGCGATGAAGAAGACATAAAATAATGATGAGAATGGTAATAGGGAACATTGACTACTTGCAGTCTCTCAGGATGGTCGCGCGCGCGAGAATGTTACGTGTGAGCGAGCGAGCGAGGCAAACGCACAAGGGGGAAGCCGGAAAAGGAAAAAGCCCCTCTCCAGTTCCCTTCGCGAGGATCTGAATGGGGGTACCTAGATAACACTAAACACTTCATTTTTTGACTTTGTAACATTTTAGGCATTTTAACATTAACAGTAAAGATTCTTTGAAACAGTAATTTTTTCCCAGATAGAAGCAAAAACGGCTCCTAAAAGGCCAAAAGTATACCAAGGAGTTTTTGGCCATTTTGCGACAATTCCGGATTATTGAGAAGATTTCCGAAGGCTACCGAAGATTTCTGAAGACTAACGAAGAGGTCCGATCATTGCCGAAGATGTCCGAAGAACCCTGCAAACACTTGACAGTATTACTTCGGAAACACTAAACATAAAAAAATTGGCTAATTTAACAGCAAACACTCAAAATTATGGACGAATAACACCAAGCATTGAACCCCATTCAGACCCTCCTTTTCGACTGGTTCGCTCTCTAAAGCTCTGCCAAGTCTCGATTCGACAGACTGAAAAGGGAACTGCTCGAAGTCTACAATATAATATTAAAATTTCATGAGTCTAAATTACGCTTTCATTTTCACTAGAATATTTGTGCCTACAAACCTTGCTTGAACAATGCAAAGTGTTTCCTTGGATATACGGATAAGGGGTTTCTTTGCGAATGCCAGTCTGGTTACACGGGAGAACTCTGCGAAACAGGTAATTATGTGGCCAGCAAACGCAGACATATTCAGTCCTGTTTTCGCTTGACTGCGCCACAAGAATACTTTTCGGGCAGAAACAAACTGGAAATACGTCTACGTCTACGTCTCTCATAGACGGAATCGTCAGATAGTAAACTAGAAACTTACCGTGGCCCGTTGCTTCGAGATCCTTCGAGGTGGTTAGAAAAACCAAAGTGTATCCTACCCAGAAATGGAGGACATATGAATGTTGCTTACTAAGAGATAATCAACGTTGTCAGGGTTAGAAAACATCTGTGGGGGGGTCCTGCAGCAACGTTTTATCCTGGAAAGCTCCGCCCTGAGGTCTAGCTCCTTACCCTTCTATATAACATTTTTTGAGAGAAAAGGTATCCCTCCCTTACCCAGTACCTTCGATTGACAAATGGTACCTCTTTCAAATACCTATTTTAGAACTTTGCATTACTTTTAGCAACTGAAAATGTACTGTCTTTAAACTGTGAATAAATCACAAAAGCAGGAAATGTTCTCGACTTTTTCACAGACCGAAATGACACAGATTTCCCTACCCTCTCGTATACTTAAACTCGTGAAATCCTTACCCTTTCAAACTCTTGAAGTCTGGAAAAGGTACCACTTTCGGGTGGAGCTTCCCCTTTTAAGCTATTGTAGGAGATACCCCCCGGGATTTATGCTTGCTCTTCTCGACATGAGAGAAACAATCACTCTTCCTTGAAGCAATCAGCATGCTACAAAATTGATTATTTTCTTGAGTTGAATGTCTAGGTAACGGTGTGCGAGGTTGGTGACTTGTATTGTTTTCTTTTTTTATATTAGACCTGGACGAATGCGAGGATAAAACTCATCAATGTGACGTAAATGCGAACTGTACCAACATTCCTGGCTCATATAACTGCACGTGTAGGCCTGGCTACACAGGAAATGGGAGCATTTGTAATGGTATAATTAGCTATACAAGCCTTCACTTCATCTTTCTGCTAGTAGTTATGCATTTGTAAAGGTAAAAATTTGGGAAGACCTTAGATAACAATAACCTCAACCGGGTTGTGGCGTTAAGTGGTTTAAGTGAAAGCAAGAATTTGGGTGCCGGTGGGGTGCTCAGTCTCGCGGGCTCATAAAACCTGGTCTCAGTCATTCTTATTTAAAGATTTTCAAAAATTTTTCGATTAATTTTTATGACGCGCATTATAGGGTCGGGGCTTATAGCTCGCTTTGATACTCTTTTCCTAGTTATATCTACATTTAAAACTATGAAGATGGTCCCTTAATTGTTACAGCAGTAAGCACTTGATCTCAACGATCTTACGGAAGCAGTCTTTGAATTGCTCTTTGAACTTCATCTTTTTAAATTTTCTGGGATTCCAGTGTAGGAGGTAGGTTTATGTGTAATTCTGGCATTCGTTTTTTCAGATGTTGATGAATGTGGTGACAACTTACATGACTGCGACGCTAATGCAAACTGTACAAATATCCCGGGATCCTATGGCTGTGTTTGCAACCCACCATATAATGGATATGGGAAAAAGTGCATTAAAACACGTGAGTGTAGTATTAAGCCGAGAAATATAAAATGATCCGAGTGAAAGCTGGAGGAGAATGGGGGGTTGATGGCTTAGGGCTTGTTTACATGGAATTGGGGGACCCCAGGTAGGTGAGGAGATCCGCCTGTCCATATAATCTCTCATTTTAATTTGATGTCATTTACATGATAGGTGGGGTGGTCCCCCACCTCCATGTAAACCGGTCATTAGTTGGTACTGCGCCTTGGATCCTAATGACGTTTAGAGAAGGCAACAATTGCTTTAGGCCCTTTATAGGGTGGATTTCCACTGTCGCGTAATTTTTACGTGCGTTCGAGCAGAAAAATTTAATTACATTCGCAAATAAAAGAGAGGCAATATATGAAGGATCGCGCGTAAAAGTAAAAGTTGAACCTCGCCCAACTTCACGTTTAAGTGCAACACGGCTTCGTACCTTGTCACTATTTTATTTACGCGGGTAAAATTTACGTGCGTTTACACGAGCGCGAAAATTACGCGTCCACCCTTCATGCAGGTGCGAAAAGAAAGGCCTGAAAAAAAATCCGGGTTTGAATCGGATTCAAACTCTTGACCTATGCGATACCGGTGCAGCGCTCTAACCAATCGAGCAAGCAAGCCATCTGGGAGCTGGTCATTATAAAAATGGGTCATTCCCTGGGTTCAAACCTTTCACAAAAATAGGTCATCTCCGAATTATCACTTTCAAAATGAGGCTGAGTGCAAAATCTTTCTTGTGAAAATGACTTTTATTTGCATGAGAATAAAAAAACATTTTCATATCGCACTTAGGCTCGCTTGGAAATAGAGGCTTAGAGCAACTGTTGATTCGTAATATACCCGGGAAAGATTACGGGCTTTCTACCTGTAGAGCAGTTTTGGATTAGTGACTGCATATATGCAAAAGAGGTGGGGAACCTAAACGCTGAGCTCAAGTTCACTTGGAGGATTCATGAAGGCAAATGAACCGCAGTATTTAGTAAGAATTGTAGCAAGCATGGCATGATAATAAATTTAACTGTTTTCATATACAATCCTCTCTATTGGCGAGTAACTGCGGACGTCGTTTTCGTCGCCCTTTTCTCATCAAATCGTCAGCTTTTCAACGAAGTCGTCGCATATTAATAGTTGTTCTGCATGGTAACGCTACTGGTCCTACTGGGGAGCTCGAGCAACCACCATGACGGCGAAGGTAACATGAAAATAAAAAGAAACTTGCAACAGGTTTGAGTGATAAACAGAAAAAAAAGCCTGAACGTGCAGCGCACTTTTTGGCAAATTTCCTTGCCATTGTCGCACGAGTGACGTTCTCAAACTTTATCGAAATGGTAATGCGATCGTAGCTTTAGCTCCCGCCCAGACGTATGCGGATATTTTTTAATCCACAAATTTTTCTTTGCAGATTCAAAAATTACCACGTCCAAACGTATCCGTATTCAAATCGAATTTGCCCGTCCACACGACACCGGATTCACTCTCAGTTTGTCAGCTAATTTGTAATAAAGCGATCTTCGGCTCAAGCGAAAATTTTATCGCCAGTCTGTTTCACTGATAAAATTGTCCCATCAAGCACTATATTTCGCTCGTTTGACTTGTTTACGGCGTCCAATCCGTCCGTCCCACATGGAAAGAAGCTTCAAAATGTCAAACCGCCGTTTGCCATAATTGAAGTGTACAGTAATCATAGCTACATTGAGAGACAAACGTGTTGAGACACGTCTATAAAATGCCCCCCTTTTGAACAGTGGACATACCTATCCCCTTCCCCTGAGTACTCCCACCCCCTTCCCCCAAAACCAGTGTTATGTTTTAGACCCTGAAGTCTTTCTTTATCTACAAACAACATTGATTCGGGGGTGGGGTGGGGGATTTATGGCGTTTAAATAGAATGAAATAATAAATGTATGAAAATGTTGATAAAAGCACTCGTTTTAGACAAGTGTGTCAACTACTTTTGTCCCTGATTGTAGGTTTACCTGCAAAAACGTTATAAGACTTGAAACTGAAGTGCAAGAAGTAAAGAAGCGATAATATTGCGCTGGGCACCGTCTTGAATATTCACGGTAAAGAACTGGGCAAAACGTTACAGTGTAAGGAAATATCCGGATTTTGCGCCCACAAAAGTGGCTCTTGGCGCCCACTCAAAGAGTCTGAAATGTCTCCTGAGCGTCCACATGATTCCGGATTTATAACTTATTCAAAAATTTCCTCTTTGGAGAGCAGATTTAGAAAGTTGCCGATTCGGATTCACCGGATACGTGTGAACGGAAGCCGGATCCGCAAAGAAAAAGTTGCGGATTCAAAAATATTCGGATACGTGTGGACGGGGGCTTAATCTCTAAGATTGTCGTTTCATAAAGCGATTTCGCGACTTCGCCCATAGAGAGTCTCATATACCTTTAGCACGACTATCCGTGCACAGCTACGGTGAGTGCCATAATTTGCTTGATTGATGCGCTTTTCCGCGTGCGATCATACCAAAGACATGAACCAAAGATTTCTTTTCTAAGGTGGTTTTAATGCATCAACTATTCTTGGCAACGACAGTAGGTACTTGGAGAATTTGACGTTGTTTTTGGAGCCCGTGATCAATAGTTCAGTCCGTAGTAGGTTTGTGAGGTGTTGGCACGCTAAAGAGGACGGCTGGGCGGCGACTACGTTCCACGGCAACTGTGATGACAAGGGACCCACTGTAACTATCATTCAAGTCGGCAGTTTTATATTTGGTGGATACAGTGATGTAACCTGGAAAAGCCCCGTACCGGGTGAGTACATGTACTAGGAGAATCAGGAATTGTTTATTTTGCTTGCTAACAATGAAGAACGATAAAGTAGTACAGCGGCTTTTGGCTTGATGTTTTTCTGTTTACGTACAATCAAGGCGAGAAAGTAATTCCTCAGCAATCAGAGTTGGCCATTTTCATGATGACATCACTCGAAATGAACTACCAGAAGTTTGTTTTTCTCTAATTCACTATTTAAATTAAATTATCCCGGTCAGGTTTAAATCTTATAAGAATCGATTTTGAAATACATTTTAAAACAAAAGTCAATGATAAAAAAGAAGCTTGTCTTCATGTCATCATTATCAAAGATAATATATCAGTCAGGGCCACAACCAGATCTGGATATATGATGACGTCACCCACATTTGCAAAATGGCGCCCACGCCGAGAAACACGAGGGAAGGTCACTTCCTGGCTCTTTGCTGCGCCTAGAAGTGTCCTTTCCCCATACTACTTTGAGAGCTGTGACTTTAGACAATGCGAAATCAGGGGTGTGAAGAAAAAATGCCGTCCGATGAACGTTTTTGCGTTCTTGGGAGGTAAAACGACCGAACACGAGAGTTTTTCAGCTCAAAGAAATGCCCGACAAGGAGCAAAACATCGAAAAAGAGAAGGTGAGTGTCATTTTTTGGACCTTTGAAAAAATTTTTTTGAAATCTACATAAAATTTGCTTGTTGATAGTGGTCTGTTTGGTGTAGTGCAAAGCAGTTTCACATAGTGCGGTGCTTTTAAAGATGCAAAAGTCAGTTGCGCAGTTAACGTGCGGGTTTTTGTAACGCCATGTTTATTTTACGTTACTTTGCAGTCGGATGGAAAATCACCTTGGTTTTTTGCAAAGAAGATGCCGTTTGTGTGGGAAAACGTTCTCTAAAGTCAAAACTGTCCAGAACTGCGACAAAACAGCGTTTCGAAGGGAACTTTTGAACTTCTTAGGCGTAGATATTGGGCTGAACCCCAGAGAAATCCATCCACAGAAAGTGTGTTCGGCTTGTAGGAGAGTCGTTTATCATTTAAATTCGGGTAACTTGGACCCCGAAATCTCTGAAGGGAGAAAGCAAGGAATAAAACTGTTTGTGTGGAAGGAACACTAGTAGTATACTAGGGTCAAACTTAACCCCGTTGGTGCCTTCCCTTGCCTTCCGTATGCCTTCCCTTAATTGATATGCATAAGCCTATGACGTCACCTCGGAAAGAAGTGTCTTCCTGCATACTAATTTGGATTAGGTTTACTAATGAGCGTCACTCTACTACAATAGGAACAATAGGCTTGCCTAGACTTGCCCGGGCTCTTTTAACCCTGATTGGATAGTAAACAATCTATTATGTGTTCAACATAAAAGCGTGCTTTCCCTTCAGTATTTCATTATTGTCACAAACTCCAGTAAATAATATTTTTGAGCGGATAGCTTCCAAACATACTAGTCAATGGTCCGAAAACAGTACTCGACTTAAAACTATTCACTGTGACCAAAGATAAATATTTTTAATCTACAAAACCATTGATTCTGTTTTGTCAATATAATTCAACCTTCAAACGTTTCTAGACTGTGGTATCGAGCGTTAACCATTAACAGGTTGGCCTTTTTCCTTTTAGACCTGTATCATACGAAACAAAAGGAACGCAAGCGAACTGTATTTTATTATTCATCGCAAACATGAACGCTTGTCGCATAAATTATCCACGGGAATCAACTCAATTATATATAAACAATAGCGTGAATGCGCTTGGGTGAACATCTTTCGTTTCTTGAACAAATGCTTAGACACTTGGTTCGTCTTCGTGTATATAAATCCACTTTCTTTTGCCGTTGGAATAATGTTTTATTTTGACGGGCCAGTAATTTTCAGATGCAAACATGACTGTGGGGGTATAAGGGTTAACAGCATTTCGAGTGCTCGTGTACATCTCGCAAAGGCCAAACCCTTCTGGAATAGCTTTGAGATAGGGCGCTCCATGTAAATAATTCTGCAAGGCGGGCCAGGTCATCCCACACCAATCCAGATCAAACGGTTTCGGTTTACGCGTAGATGATTTAGCTTCAGCATATTTCGGGGGCACAACAAGATCCTTTGGGGGGATCGATTCCACCTCTCCCTCTGGTTTTAAGGTTTTGTTGATACTTGGGTAAACTCGGCAAGAGCCAAAGATGTCGCTCAACACCTGCTTATTTGCCGCCGTGTCCGGTTTATTATCTACAAAGATGTAACCGTAAGGCCTCTCTGTTTCATGATAATAAGCTGTCATGAATCGTTGGCGATTCTTATCAAACATACGCTCAGCAACAATTCCGATTTGTTTCCGATCGCTAGGACTTCGGAAAAGAGCCATGTACTGTGCATTCCGACTGATATCAGTGTTAAATTTTCCCTTGGGGAACATATTCTGAAGGAGCAGTATGACGCTGGCATTTCTATGGCGACCTTGGGTAAACAACCGAGAAACGATGGGGCTTTCGATCGCTTCTGCCATTAGATCATCAAAGATGATAACGTTGTTGTATTTTGGGTCAATTTCTCGCAGATCTTCTTGAAATGTGGGAAGGCCACGAAAAAATTTAATGTCCTTTCCGATCGCTGATTTCAAAGCTTCGTATCTATCTTGCCACTGACTGTAATACCATAAAATGCGAGGGGGCTTGTTGGTTTCGTAGACAATACGATCTCTCGTTAGAATCTGTTCTACGAAAACTGTTTTCCCTGATTGACTTGGTCCAACCACAAGGAGTGAGAACTTATGGCGAAACATAAAATCGGGATAAGGCTCGGTTGCCAAAGAAACATCATGGGAAAGCTTTCCTTCTTCGCAGTAGAAGACGTTTTCGGCGTTTCGTTTACTGGTCTTCTTCTTTTTCTTGGTTCACATATTTTTCTCGTGGAACTAGATGAAAAACGAGGTAAGTCGACGCTTGTAGAAATATATTCTCTTTTTGATTCCCAAGAAACCTTAGCCTCTTTTAAGAGTCGTGTTCGTCTTAGCCAGGTTAAGTCATGGACACTTTCAAGATGAGAACTCAAGTTGGACACACCAGGTTTGCCACATAGCGGACAAATTCGAGGAAACGTTCGAGGCATGACTGCTTATGAAAAATGACTCACAGTTAACAGAATCATTTAATATATAGTTATTTTACAATGGTGGGGAGTACTTACGAGAATTCAGGGGTACAGGAGGGGTACAGGAAGGGTACAGGAAGGGTACAGTAGGGGTACAGGAAGGGTACAGTAGGGGTACAGGAAGGGTACAGGAGGTTTACAGGAAGGGTACAGTAGGGGTACAGGAAGGGTACAGGAGGGGTACACTAGGGGTACAGGAAGGGTACAGTAGGGGTACAGGAAGGGTACAGGAGGGGTACAGTAGGGGTACAGGAAGGGTACAGTAGGGGTACAGAAGGGGTACAGTAGGGGTACAGGAGGGGTACAGGAGGGGTACAGTAGGGGTACAATGAAAGTTCATAGAGTTCCGTTGTGCTTTGCAGCCGTGCCTCCATCGATAGCTATAAAAGAAGTAAGCCGCTGTTTCTGATTCAGTCAGTTCTTAAACCTCGTGCAGTTCGGATCACAATGTTCAGCAATTATAATCATTTCGTTCAAAAAGGATATGGAAATTTTGAAGATGATGACGACCATATTGAAAGCTCACAAGAAAGCGAACAATCATCTCAAAGTTCTCAATCTAGCAAAGAAATGGACTCTTCCGGAGAGGAGGAGGAGGAGCATGTAGATCCTTGGTCACGCATTCAAAATGAAGTTTGTAATCGCCACGAAGCCCACCTCGAAGCTCTGATCAACGAGTATGAACAAAACGGAGACTCGCCTGAAGTGGCCCGCATTAAAGCTGAAAATGCTTTGCTTCCAGTATATAGAAAGGAATTGAGAAAAGTGTTGTGTTTACAGTGGATGCATGCAATGAAGAAAGATCCGACATTCCGAAAAGTGATGGAAACCCGCCAAGATCTCAAAGACACAGAAGGATATGACTGGCTGGAATCGACAGAACTTGCCATCGATAAGCGGAAATTCTTACTCAATCGATTGTTTGTCAAACAAACTGTTCCCGAAGACTAAGCCGGAACTCTGTCTATTCATCTATTGTTGTAACACGTTGATGGTTTTGTTATCAATAAATGTATTTTTAACCGAAACAAAGGTGTAGTCTGGTTGTAGCACGCGCGTATTAATCCCACCATTGTTTATATATGATTGAGTTGATTCCCGTGGATAATTTATGCGACAAGCGTTCATGTTGGCTCAGTGTATATTAAATTAGTTTGCGATGAATAATAAAATACAGTTCGCTTGCGTTCCTTTTGTTTCGTATGATACAGGTCTAAAAGGAAAAAGGCCAACCTGTTAATGGTTAACGCTCGATACCACAGTCTAGAAACGTTTGAAGGTTGAATTATATTGACAAAACAGAATCAATGGTTTTGTAGATTAAAAATGTTTATCTTTGGTCGCAGTGAATAGTTTTAAGTCGAGTACTGTTTTCGGACCATTGACTAGTATGTTTGGAAGCTATCCGCTCAAAAATATTATTTACTGGAGTTTGTGACAATAATGAAATACTGAAGGGAAAGCACGCTTTTATGTTGAACACATAATAGATTGTTTACTATCCAATCAGGGTTAAAAGAGCCCGGGCAAGTCTAGGCAAGCCTATTGTTCCTATTGTAGTAGAGTGACGCTCATTAGTAAACCTAATCCAAATTAGTATGCAGGAAGACACTTCTTTCCGAGGTGACGTCATAGGCTTATGCATATCAATTAAGGGAAGGCATACAGAAGGCAAGGGAAGGCACCAACGGGGTTAAGTTTGACCCTAGTATACTACTAACACTCCTCAAACTGCTATTGCCTGCAGAACCTCAATATTTAAAAGGGTTTCAAACATGGTGAAAACTCTCAGATCAGTTGCAGAATCATGCGAAGGTCTTGATGACATGGTGATACGAGTAAGATAACTGCTTCTTCAAGTTTAAACAATAGAAAATTACATTGGAAACTCTACTTGTAAATGACTGCCTCGTCACGAGTTCAGAAAAGTGAAAACAACAAGAATAGCCCCAAGCTAGCCCACATTGTAGGAGGCAATACGATAGCGTTGAATACAAAAATCTTGACTGAAATGATGATGGTTGATTAATCACTGTCATGAGACAGTATGCAACAGTGCAAACCAGTTTCCCACTTATATAATTTTCGATTACTGAATTAAAGTGTCAATGCTGACAATATAATAACGGTGTATGACATTTGCAGACTGCAGACTGCAGACTGCATGAGGCAGCAAGACTATAAATTGAATGAAACCAAAAGTATCGTAATAAAGGTGGCATCATCATCAAAATTACCTTGTTCCGAGAAGTACATGTAAGGCCTAGAAGCGAAGTTTATATTTTTCATGCAAATTACACCGACCTCATTCCTAAAGGAGTTGTTGGCTGTTCTTCTTGTATTGGATTAGAGCAGAATAATGTCTGCCGATGTCACAAACTCGCTCATGAATCCATAGCAAAAGGCTAGCAATTTAGCCTGCAACACAGACGAAACTAAACTCTGGTTATATAAGTCTGTCTGTGAAACAGCGCCGGAATCCTTATTCTACGGGGGCCCCACCTGTGTACTAGGATTTGAGTATGAGCAATGATTGGCCTGTTAAAAAAGCCATTGTCGATTTGCCTATTTAGAAATTCAAAATGCACTTCCGGTAATTCGTCGAGTCCAGGTAGGATCTGTTCGGTTTAGATTATTTAGCACATCCTTAAAAACTGCTAAGATGAAATACGTCATTTAAAAGGTGTTAAATGTCCGTGATATATCCTAGTTGTTTTCGTTGACGTAACTGTAGTGAGCACGAAGTGCTTGCAACCTAAAAACTTTTTTTTACAGAAGACTACTATTTAGACAGGCATTAGTGGGCATTGCTACTTGTTATTATCAATTCACAATAATCAAAGAAGAATAAAGAATCCACGCAATTAGTGATATGCCGGATGAGTCAATAAAGAGTCGCGTCGGTGAAGAATAGCCAACAGCATCTTGGAAATGAGACCAATGTAACTTTGCGCAAAAATATCAACCTTGTTCCCAGGCTACCTTCTCACTTTCACACGATGTTATATTTTTGATGGTGTCACCTTTATTAGGAAGATTTTTGGTGTCTTTACAATTTTACAATTTGCAATCTGTGGTCTGCAGTCTGTGGTCTGCAGTCTGCAGTCTGCAGTCTGCGGTCTGCAGCCTGCAGTCTGCGGTCTGCAGTCTGCAGTCTGCAGTCTGCAGTCTGCGTTCTGCAGTCTGCAAATGTCATACACCGCTGTATTTTCGATTGCTTATATAATTTTTTAATTTATTATTTATTTGTTACTTTTATACTTTGCCTTAGGTTATGACATGCAAGGTGGAAAATGTGAAGAATGGCTGAAAATACACTTTAAACAGGACACCAAATGATCGATCTTACAAAGCTGTTCCATATTTCATAATTACAGTCAAACCCCATTGATATGGACACTGAAGGGGCCATAGGAAGTGTCTATATAACGGAGGTGTCCATATCAAGCAAGTCCTGTTAGTCAAAAATACACTTTTTTTATCGAAATACTACAGCATCACACCTAACATCTTGAAACATCACTAAGCTCTTATTCTGCAGACTGTGTCCATGAAAACACACGGAAGTCTCGAGAAAATAGATCAAAAATTAAGTAAAATTTACCAACTCGATTGATGTCAAAATGGTCTATTATTGTTGTGCACAATTCATTCATTTTGGTGTACTATGATGCTGGGAACATGTGACGTCAACTAAATGAAAGGTTTTTTTACCCTACAAAAAAAGAGGTTGACTACAGCACACAATGGAATATAAAGTCTGCAGATTAGCGAGGTTGGCTTTATATGATGAGAATCTGTTCATTGAGGAAGAAAAAAACGTCCATTATCCCCTTTAACAGGTCAGTCTGTATTAAGTGGGTTGAATAAAGAGAAAAATTAAGGGTTTTCCCCAGTGACCAAGGAAACTTCCCATAATAACAGGGAGTCCGCATTAAGCTGGTGTCCGTAAAGAGGGGTTTGACTGTATGATACAGGACAAACATAATCTAATAATAATAGAGGCTTAGTGCCCACTAAGTTTTTCAGTGTGTATGTATTCCACCTACAGTGACAGGATATTACTATAATGACATAGTTTTTACACTAAATCAACAAAACTCAGAAACCCAGGCATTGTTTGGGATACAAGACAGCCTTTATTAATCACAACAAAACACAATACATGGTAAATAACTAAAAGGTAATATTAAGTATAAAAATAAAGTGCTCCAACAAATAAGAAAGACCAAACTAAAAAATCAAATAATAAAAGTGATCACACTGTCCATGAATAGAACAAAATAAAACCCTACAGGGAGGGAGGGAGGGAGGGAAATGATTGCTAGTGCAATAAAAGTGAACGTTGCTACTGCAATACCAAGTGAAAATGTGACTAAACTAGAATTGTATCCGTCTGTAACCCATATTACAGTCGTGGTATTTTTATCTACCGTAAAACTACTATATCCTAGGTAGTAGGCACATGGTATTATGAAATCTCTCATGCCACAAAACTACTGTGATGCTGTACTAGCCCTGCATCCCAATGTGACACCTTCCTTTGAGATTTGGAACCGCATCAGTCGTCTCAACTGATGCACCCCCTTAATAACAATAATTTAAAGGAACAAATTTTTTAAAAAAAATATAGAGATACAAATATATATAATATTTTCTTGTCTTGTGAAAAACCATTCTATTAAATTTTTTGACACAACAACAATAGTAAAGTCTGCACATCTATTTCATTTGTCAGCTGTTTTTCAAAATAAAATTGTCCAATTATGTTTACGTCCTCTCAGTGACTATTTAACAGCTATTAGAACACGAATACGTCCACTTGCATTATTTTCATCCGCAATGGGGTTTTGCAATTTGCAATAAGCAACACGTAGACAGAAGTTCGTTAATAACTGCTTACGACTCTTCGCGAGTGCAATTTCTACAAATTTTATTTCTTTCTTTGACCTTCGCATATTTCCAACATGTGTGACGATTCAATATACTGGAAATTTATATACAGCAAGAATAATTAGCATTAAGATTATCATTCGAAATTAGATTTTAGCGCGTATGGTATTGCGCCCGAAGTAGAATAGAACAGACTTCTCCAGGTCGAAGCTGTGCTCGCAGAAATAATTCCAAACAGGACTTCTCAAAACCTTTCCGCTAAAAATGTATCGCGGTATTCAAATTCCCTATTCTTCCAATTCGATCGGAGTCGTCGAGTTGTTTCTGGTCTCTTGAAACATTATCAGAAATCCACGGGTGTTCACAGAAAGCGTTCTCGATCATTAACATCTCGATATTCGTAAATCGAACGCTATGACGCATAAAATAATCTCGATTAATCGGCTCCGTATTGCTGTTACTTTTCTTCAAGGTGCATTCCAAGTTTCCCTGTTCGACATTTCTGTCGAGCTTAGTCCTTTCGCGGTCAAGTCAATGTTTTGGTTGAGCTCTGAGCCAATCAGATTGCAGGAAATTACATATCCAGATCTGGTTGTGGCTCGGGCTGTATATTCTTCCACGAATCATGTTAATTTCATATCTTTTGATAATGATGACATGAAACCATCGAAACGTCAATTTATTTTTTTATCGTTGATTTCAGGTTTAAATCACAACATCAATAAACAAAATCTTGCAAAATTTGGTTTCGTTCTCTCCTTACCAAAACCCGTTAAGGGGCCACTCCAAAGGAGAGGACGCCTCTGGTGCCAGCCTTATTTTACTGAATAATCTTTAAAGTTCTCTAACTATGTACTGCGGATTCTTTTTAATAAAGAAAAGTGTCGCTTAAGAACTACCCCCCCCCGGGTCACGGTAGTCACAAGGATAAAAAGGAAAAATTTTCCATCGTAAAAAGCTAATGTTGTAGTCGCATCCATTAACATTCATGACCAAAATTACCTTTTTAAAGGTAATTTTTAGCTTTTAAAAAAGCTAAGTGAAACACGGAATCAAGTGGTTCAGCCATGCGGAGGTTGAAAAAAAAATGTATTAGATGCATGGGTGATACCGTCTGTCATTTGTATTTTATGGACTTCAAGTAGGTTTCAGGCTCTGTCATAATTCGATAGATCTGAATTCAGTTACGATTCTAGTTTGCATAAATCTCTTTTCAGGACAAAAACCCTGCTCTTTTCTACTAACACTGAGGGATTCCAGTTTAGGGAGAGCTCCCTTTCTGCTCATCATAGAAGTTTGTTACTCTGCTAAAACTGCCTAATTTTCTAGAATAATTTTCTCCTCCCTCACCAATTTCAAAGTCAATACAGTGTCATTACTGTACTTATCAAGACAACAAATGGATGTGTGGCTCAACACTTTTTTAGGAACATTGAAAAATTTATACAAATACAGCAAATTTTTAAATATCAGTGCAGTAATGCATGGGTTGTCTAGAAATGTTTGTATGTCAAGCCGGACTTGCACTCACTATTTTAAACTGAAGTCCGGATCATTGAATATTCCTAGAAGTTAATTTTTTATGAGCGCCTTTAGTAAGGTCAGTAAGAATTGTAAAATGTCGTCATTATCTCCCAGGTGGTTGTCGGTATGGAAATTCAAGTAAAGCCTTTATCTACTCCTTGACCAATAACAACGGTTCTGGACACGCTGTGTACAATCCTGTTAAGCTGCGAGTCAAGCCTGATAGTTACCATCAAGCTGTAAGAAGGTGTGATTCAGATGGACCAATATTTGGCTGGAAAGATATTCGCATATCAAACAACTCTGCTAGTAACCAGAATTCTTCTACTTATTGTGGCAAGAAATACCCTCTCCCACCAGGGTATTGTTCATCTGCTCGAAAGTGTACATTCTATGTTGGAAACTCCACATTCACGCCAACAGATATCGAAGTATTCTATGAAACAACCACATAAAGAACTGTATCCTGAGCTTTTGACTTTGTGCTTTTCGTTGTTGTTGTTTGTTTGTTTATGACGATTTGACTTTAATGTAACGCAATCTGAAGTCCTCCGCATCCTTCGATCCAGTTTTCCCTCTTCTTTACTTCCCATCATCCCTTGCGCCCTTATCCGTGCGCTCCCGCTGGGGACCAAGCCTTCTTCTTTCACTTTGCGGTCTCTGTGGGTAGGTACGACAGGTAACATTAATCGTAGCACCAGCATAGATAACACGCCAAGAGAAACAGAGTTGCAGCTTACTATTATCAGATAATGGTGATAGAAAAACCTCATTGAAGCAATGAGAGAGATGGTGTTTTTTTTTACTAGCACTCTGATTCGCCAGCTATAAAATAAAAGGTAAACGTAATTTTGAAAGATGTACCGATACCAAACCAGATTTGCCTGAAAAGTGTCGATACTTGAGAATGACACTATTGATATCGTATCGAACATTCCAGTATCTTTCATATACCTTGGTAATGATCTGCCTTTCAGTAGACAATTATCAGGGGCACCCAACGACGGTTTCCTCCTAAATACATTAAAAACACTTTTAGACTATCCAGAGTACCGTTTAGAAGCATTTTAAGCGGCGCTGTGAAATTTGTATCTGTTCGGTCATCCTAGGGAAACTTGAGTCTTTTCGAAATTACGCGAAGGGCTTGAGTATTATTTTCCCGAAAATTTTAGATGAAATTTGACGTATTACGAAAGTGAGACATTTTCTAATTCCTCTCTCCATCACATTTTTGAATCCGAAAAATAGCCTAACTTGGGAAGTAAAATGTGAAACTTGAACGTCAGGAAATCGTAGGGAATTAATGAGATAAGCTTCGAAAATTGTACATGAATGGAACGATCATCTAGAAAATTTTTAGCCGTCATCAAGAAATAGAAACTTCTTGTCAATATTTTCTTCTCCGAACAGATATTTTACACAAAACAGTCGTTAAGTGCTCCTGAGTTATATCACTCGTAAATATATAAGGGATTTTAAAAATGTCAGTATTTTTCATTCAGTCCTCTCTTGTATCTGTTATGTTATCACGGCGGGCACAAAGGACTCAAAAAGCTCTAAGGAGGAACACATTAAAAACTTACAATTTTTTCTGAACGTGCGCAACGAGTGCAAAGTGGAAAAGGATGCACTCACCACTCTATGATTGATTTCAGGGGCGGATCCAGAAAATTTTAATAACGGGGATGCAACTTGTGCACACTGGGGCCTGTTTCTCGAAAGTCCCGGTAACTTTTCGGGCCCGAAATCAAATATTCAAATCGAAATATAAAGAATAAGAGCGCGGGTCCTGGCTAGCAAACTACTCCATTTTGTTTCACTAACTGATAGTTTTATCATGTTAGATGCAAAACTATTGAAACCTCGATCTTTAATGGAAACCGAGACAGCTTACCGGGGCCGTTAATTATCGGGACTTTCGAGAAACGGGCCCCTGGTGCAGCCAATAGGGACCTTAAGCAAGGACGACGACGATGGCAGTGAAAACGTCGGTGAAAAAAATGAACTTGCGTTCTTTCAAACTTAATCGCGTCTATTTGGACCCGCTCAATATGTCAAATGCAGGCGACTTTTCCTGGAGTTGAATTCTTAAGGATTTTATTCAGGTTCAAAAAGAGGAACGAAAATTCGTCGTCGTATGTTCACGTTCTTCATAAAAACGGCAAATTAGGAGGTTTCACGTCGTAGTCGCCCAGTGGACGTCAAAGAAATCTACTAAAAAGCGTGATGCACGTGCAGAACTGTTGTTTTGATCATTAAACGTATTGTTTTTTTTGAAGTTGTCGTTGTGGTCGTCGTCGTAGTTGCTTAAGCTCCCTAATAACTTACTTCGTTAGTACATCATTCCAAACCGTTACACATTCCTTTCTACTGCGAAGAACCTTGCTGTCATGATACGTGATATTCTAATCGTGCAGTGCCCAGCTTTGAACCATTCGTCTCTTGAGTTAAGTGATAAAATACTTTTGTCCAGATTTTCGTCAATTTTAAGTCATTAAGTCCCCTCCCTCTGGATCCGCCACTGGTTTTATTTTGGTTTTCCTAGAGACAAACAACCACAGGCTTAAGTAAAGTTAAGTAAGGTTCTTGAACACCATAAAGAAAATTTAAAAAAATGTTTTTGGAGACCGAGGCTCCCCCTGATCTAAGGGTCTGGATGACCGGGCCACCCCCTTCCCCCCCCGCCCCCTCCCACTTATCTCAAGGTCTGGATCCGGATCCCTTAGTCCCAAGGTTTAACGAGGCAGCGTGGATAGATTTACAGGACGTTAGAGACTGTACAGCATGCTTTATTCCACTGGCGTTTTAATCTGCAGCTCGCTTTTTTAGGAGAAGAATCCTAGGTACTTCTGCCAACGAAAAAGTGAGGGAAATTTGTGCGCTTGATATAGAAATTAGTAGTAAAGAGCAGGGCGAAAGCTCATGAACTGGTCCTGTGTTAATTCCTGGCTAAATTAATTACATTCCTGATCAGTCCTCGGCGTCCTGGTGCTAAGCAACGCTTACTCCTGTTTTATAGAAACCTTTTTAAGAATATCCTAAGAGCAGAGCAAAGCCAAGGCTGAAGTTCAGTCTAGAACACTGTCGATTCCTCCAATTTCATCGTGAGGAATATAGAAAAATTGCTGTAAAGACTGCTGTACATGTTTGGCTGAACATTGTGTGCACTGTTGCCTCTCCTGAGGTCACTATTGGCCTCTCAAAACAAGCGGTGAATTAAAAGTCGTCCATACAATGTTTACAAAATGTAATTTAAAAACATCTTAGAACGTTTTGCGGCTCAAATCGCCTCAAAAATAAGCAAGTTTAGTCTTGGCTCAGTCTCAGCTCAAAATTAGGCGTTCTTACATGGAGGGTCCCCATTCAATCTCGTCATCTTGACCCAAATATAAAAATGGTGTACCGTATTTATTCGATTAACTGCCCTGAGCGCTTATTAAATTTTTGGACCTTGAGAGTGGGCGTTTCTTAAATTTTCACCATTTTCAGCAACTGTAGTAATGTTTACATTGCAACAAAACAACATCAAAGCAAGGTTTCTGTAAACTACTCTGAAGAAAACTCCGTCTTTAGGGAAGTCAGTAAGTGAATTCTCTGGTGCTACCTCCTGGATGTCCGACATCGTAAAGCCGGCAAATGGGTTAGGTGCCCGAGAAGCAGATACAGCTTGCTGGATGGATGTTAGGTGGTGGGCGCTTATTCGAGGTTTGGACACTTAATAACTATTTCTGCCTTTAGGATGGGCGCTTATTCGACGCGGGCGCTAATTCGAGGTTGGGCGCTTATTTGAATAAATACGGCATGTAAATAGTCAACCAGTACGCCTCACAGCCGGTTGGGATGTACAGCCAGCACTACGATAAATTTTGTTTCCATTTTATAGTTGGAATTTGCAGTGTCTTTTGCTTCAGCTATCAGGCTCAGTTCCTGTCTGAGAAAAATTAGAATGGAAAAAAGCAAAGAACAAAATGGAATCTTGCACCCCCACTGAGCCTAAGAGTTGAAGCTTCGACACACTTTGAAACTTGTTCATTACTATACAATATTTCTTAGCTACGTATATTGCATAATGTCATAGGAAATTTTGCAGGCATTTTAATAAAGGTAATACAAGGTTTGTAGTTCGCAATAGGCCATTTAATTTCTGAGTTACCTGGGCCTCTGTATAAAAACGAGGTTAAGTGCTCAGTCTCTGATATGGAAATGATTTATGCCAATAACACTCATTTTCACAAGAAAAGTGATGCACTTGGCCTCATTTTGAAAATGAGGGTTTTTGGAACTCGGAAGTGGCCTATAACTGCGGTTTTTGTTAGAGTCGGTACACACGCTAATGTCCGCCAGGTGGAGAGTTTAATAAGGGCCTTCAGCAATGCGGGGAGACATGAACATTCCTTCATTTCGGCAACAGGCATTAAATCACTCACCGACCTAGCAGACTGCTGGAAGGATCGAAGAAATCGAGACCAGGTGGACTCGCGCGTGTGTGCATCAACACTTTTGAAAACGGCTTATATAAAGTGTTATGCCTTTTTTTATTTTATACCAAATGAGTAAGAAAATGCATTCACGCGATGCCCTGCACAAATCCAAAGCGGCTCTTTGGTTGGTTATCGAGTTCAAAGGAATGTTTTTTTCCTCATAAAATGCGCATGAAAATGTGCATCTCTGTGATTCGTTGGTTCAGTTTAAGTAATGATCCAGGTAAGAAGGGAAGCAATTTCTTTTGTTGGGGCGCAATACGCTTTCCTCACATAGAAATGTTTTCATTTTTACGCAGAGAATGCATAAATCTACAAAAAGGCTGTTTACGAAAGAAAATGTATTTAAACTCCACTTTTAAAGGGTGTATTTTTGTGTTAAAACATTTCGACCAATCACAAGAGTTGCAAACAATGGCCAAGAAATGTTCACAATTTTACATGATCCACACATACGATTTCTGTTTTACTTAGACTCAGACGAGATTTTGTTATAAGGAAGTTGGATAGAAAAAAAGGGATTAATATACATGCTGCGTTGCGAAGATTTCGTAAAATTTGATGTTTAACCCAATCAGAACCTTAGTAGAGACAATAGTAAAGTTAGCACCTTTTTGCATTCCGACGTGTTCACTGCGTTTTGGTCCTTTCCTTCTTATCTGGACCATTACTTAAAGTGATAATGTGGTTGAAGGAATTTATAGTTTTAACACAATCTGTGGTACTGCATCGGTGAGAGAGACCAACTCGCAAAAAAAAAAAGGTTTTATCCCTCGAGTTTATAAAATCAAATCACCACCGTAAAAACTGTTTCAAAGCTGACGTTTGGAGCAGGGCCCATAAAGGTATATCCGCCCAGGTTTCGGCTGCTTGCCCTCCGCTCTGAGGAAAATCAAACATTCGAAATAGAGGTGCTCATTGCAGACCAGTCACAGAGCTGCTTTAGAATGGTGCAGGTCAACTGTTATAAATTATGCTTGTTATTTAGGTAACAAAAGGTAATTTTGATTAGCTTGCTGCTGCTTTAAACCAGCCTTAAGTATAAAGTTATTTTCGGTTGTAGCTTTCGTTCATTATCGTAGGTTATTTGCCGTCAGTTGTTTAACCAACCGACTTTGAATCTGCAAAATAAAA